AAAGCGGTGAAGACTGTTGATGGGAAGACTACCAATCTTTATGGCTTTCCATGGGCCTTTATGGTTAAATTTTATTTTATTTTATTTTAATTCATATATATATTTATTTCATTTATTTTTGGGTGCTTCCAATATTTTGATCTCTTTTTGTGATTATTTTATGTAGTGTTGGGCATTTTGAGGTTGTTCCTTTCCTCCAAAAGAAATATAAGGTGTTTTTGAAACAAGTGTCTTCACCAAGGATTTTTCGATGGCTTTTGGTGACTAATAACGAATCAGCTAACATTAATGAGTTGTTTGATCCCCCTCAAGACTCGGTAATCATTATTCTTTAAACATTTTTAGTTAAAGTGAAATTGTTGTTGCTTTGCTGTTTTTGATGTAGCCTTTTCAACAAGTGTTTTATTTATTTAATTAGTTGCTGTCAATTGTTGAAGTTATTACAACAATTGCTGGAACAATTAGAACAACTGGTATATAATAATATTTAAATGCAGCAGTTGCTTTATCACATTTTTATTATTATTATTTTTACATGTAGAAAGTAGTTGCTTTATCACATTTTAATTATTATTATTTTTACATGTAGATTGTGCATCCATGGATAATTCCTACATCTAGTGAAATGGAAATGGAATTTTTCACTAAGTTTGTGCCTAAGAAATTAGCCAAGGATGATAAGATTGAAAAGTTTGAGACAAATTTGAATGGTGTTTTGGCTATAAAAAGAGACATCATAATTGATGAGCATAATCTTGATGTAGGAGGTGGAGGAGCATCTTCTCCAATTGTTGAGAGAGTTTTTAGTGGTGTTGGTGATGGAGGGGGAGGAGAATTTACTCCAAATGTTGATAGATGTACTGATGGTGTTGATTTCGAAAGAGGAGGAGACTTCGGTGATATTAGTGGTGGTTTTGGAGTAGGAACATCTTCTCACATCGAATGTTCCTTGTCTTCAAGAAACTCCATCCACTAAGGATACCGGCATGCAAAGGTTCGAATCCTTTTACTCCAGATTATGAACACCCGATCGGATCTGTCAAGAACGACCATTCCATTCATTGTCTTCTTCTCAACCTCTCCTCGGTCACTGAACTGGGTTATTGAACTCCACCTTCTCGGAATCCCATTTCAGAAAGTCAGGTCGAAGGCACTATTTTCGCGAGTAAAAAGAACATGTGGTTAACCGAATGGATCACAGGTTGCTGCTCCACAGTTTGGGTGCACCTCCATTTCATTTTTTATTTTCAATTAAGTAGAGTAGTAAGTAGATAGATTTATTGAATGTCAGAGTAGAGTCTTTAGAGAAAACTATCGTCACCATGAATACTAAGATTGAGTCTTTAGAGAAAGTTATCGTCACCATGAAGTCTAAGAGAGGTATTAGGCCATCATCAAAGATCTCTCATCCATATACTCCCGACTATGTTAAAAGAACAAAGAGACAAATTTCGGAGGCATTGTCAAGTGCTAGAAAAAAGAAAAAGGGAAAAGTGAATGAGACCATTATCGAAAAAGAATTG